TCCAAAAAAAAAAAAAAAAAAAAAAAAAAAAAATGGACATGAATGATGAATTTCACCATGTTTTGTCTTGACATTTATTTATTTTCAAATAAAGACCAAAGGAACTATTTAATGCAATAGAATTATATGGCAAAAGATCAAACACTTATTAATTGTTTTTCTAAAATCCTCCATACACTTAATAATCTCTGTAAATAAGATTATTATTATTATTATTATTATTATTATTTATTTGTTTTCTATGGGTTTTGATTTCTTTTTTTAGGTTTATAAATTATGAATTAATTTTATATGTAACAGTAATTAACATGCAAAAATGATAAAAGAACACTACTTTAGGGTCTATGAGGAATAGGTTGTCTGTGAGGACAGATGATTTTATTTATTTATTTATTTATTTATTTTTATTTTGTTTTTATGTTTAGAATGGATTAATCAGTACTTACAAAACAGAAAATGCATGAAGGCAGAATACACATGCTGTTATTATGTTTTTCATCATGAGTAATCAATACCCAGACTAAGCCCAAACTAGCCAACAGGATTGGCATGAAAGTACAGCCTAACATGACTGAAATTTGTCAAATTAAAAATAAACAGAGCTTTCTACCTAAGGAGAACTGATGTAGTTTTTTAATACTGTAAGTTGTATTATATAATTAAATTACGAAAATATTGAGTAGAATACATACTAAGGGAGGTAGACTGATATGTCATTGCGTGCACATTTCTAATCAAAACTCCATTCAGCACAGAGGAATCAGTAACACAGACAACACCTGGCATCGCTATCATTAGTGTTTTTTAGAAACTTCAAGAACCCTTGTTTTGCGTAGGCAGCTATCAAGACGCTGCAGGAACTGGTAAACACGAGTCGAAAGCTTTCAATACTGCGTCATTTCCCTCTCAAACTTGTCGCCCATGGGGAGGATGCACAATTTTCCCATCAATATGTCCCCTCTTGACAGACAGATAACAAGCTGACAGTGTGCTGAGGGTCAGTTAGCTATGATGTCTTTAGTTCTGACCAGCTGATCCTAATCATATCCAGCAAGATGAAACGACTTCTATTGCTACTTGAACAACCATTTGGAAGACTTTGATTGTCTCTAAGGAAACATCACCTATGCCCCTGAGATTTTTGGTGAACCTCTTTCTTGACAAGTTCCTCCAGTCTACACGAGAAATAACTATTTCACAGTTAAGCTTAGACCATAAAATGTTCCAAAAAATGTTTAGTAACTTTTCTACTGATTTAAAGTCAGACACTGTAAGCTTCTTTTGCATTTTCTTGGATAGTGTCCAAAAAATGGACATGGGTGGTGAATTTCACCACCATTTGTCTTGACATTTATTTTTTTTTTTCAAATGAGGGTCAAAGGAACTATTTAATGAACAGAATTATATAGCAAAAGACCAAACACTTAGTACAAGTACTAATATTGTCTTTCTAAAATCCTCCATACTCTTAATAATCTTTGTAAATTAGGTTATTAATTTTTTTCTTTTTTTTTAACATGGATTTTAATATTTATCTATTGGTTTGTTAATTATGAATTAATTTTATATGTAACAGTAATTAACATGCATGTTTTATAATAAGGAACAACAATTAAAAAATGACACTACTGTAGGGTCTGTGAGGATTGGGTTGTCTGTAAGAACAGATGATTTTTTTTCATTATGTTTTTATGTTTAGAATGAATTAATCAGTACAAAAAAAAAAAAAAAAAATGCACAAAGGCAGACTACCTATGTTGTAATTATGCTATTCTTCATCAAAAATCAATACCTAGACCAAGACAAAGCTAGCCAAGAGGATGAAGGTGACAACCTAAATGACTGAAATTTGTCAAATCAGAAAAATAAAAAGAGATCTCTACCATAAGAAGGACTTATGAATTTTTAAAATATTTTAAATTGTATAATAACTAAATTTAGCGGATATTGAAAAGAATATATACTAAGGCAGGTAGACTGATTTATCATCGCGTGCACATTACTAATCAAAACTCCATTCAGCATAGAGGTATTTTAGTAACATACACAACACATGGCATCACGATCATTTTTCGAGACTTCAAGAGCCCATGTTTTGCGTAGGCAACTATCAAGACATCCATTACCTCGCACAAACTGGTAAACATGTCAAAAGTTTACAATACTTTTACCCTTACAATACTTTCTAGTAATTTCCTTCTCAAATGTCTTGTTATCTCTGCATGTATTGGCTGTTTCACAATTAGGGGTACAAAATAGGGGTCACATTGAGAGAAAAATGAACTCTGATGCATGTGTTTAATTTTGTAACAGATAAAAAGAATAACATCTTAACTATGACATCCAACATTTTCAGAACACAATATTAATTATTTTTTGTTTTACGTTCAAATTAACAGAACGCCTCTTAGGCTATGATTTGGGGGTATGGACACTACACATTCAAGTAACTGATGCTTTTGTAACTGAAATATCATATTGTTTACCAGTTATTTTTGCCAACATTCTAAAAATATCAAAATAAATATATAACAACAGTACTTTAACCAAAAGGATACAAGTACATGTATTAATCAAAATATTTTTTGGAGAAACACCACAGCACGTTTTTCAGTGGATGCTGGCGCTTAGTTGTGTGTCATTCTGTTTTACTTTTATACACCAGACATTAATTTAAACTTTTTCTTTCTGTTGCTTGGTCTTTTTATTTATTTATTGATTGATTGATTGATTGATTGATTTTTGTTTCCGTCTTGATTCTTGTATTTCAAGTCTTTTCTTCTTTTTCATCTCTCGTTAATTTGCACCTCTTGCTCTGCTGCTTTCAGGATTGGGTTTCTGCTTCTCCTTGACTCTCTGTCAGTATGCCCTTATTTCTTTCTCTCATCTTTAGTCTTTCTTGCTGGACCAGCCTTGGATGATTCTTCAGTTTTTGCTTCTCTGCTATGTTACGTCCTTTCAACATCTTCCTTACATGCTTCAGCATGACTATAAGCTCTTTGACATTTTTTTTTTTTTCAAATTATTTTTACTGACAGTAAAAATTTCAGGTTTCCCTTTTCTTTTCCTATTTGGCTTTTGTTCATTGTCATCCATGTTTGATACTCTATCCACTGAGATAAATATACCTCTGTTAATTATGCATATATTGTAGTGTCCGTACCCCCTCAAAATATATCATATACATTAATCCATAGAATATGAAATTGGAAGCAATATTGCTCATTTTGAATGCAAAGAACTCGGTATCTTTAATGATATTATTTTTTTTGCAAAATGTCTTGCCTGACTCTTATTAATTAGTATCACTTTATCGAATATACATTTATATACAATGTTTTTTCTACACGTCATAGGACATGAATGCATTTTATACAATCTAGAACAATATTTTGTACCATATTTTGAAGTTTTATCATCATTGATAAGTAGCCAGTTATCCAATGGTTAATGTATAACTTGGGGGGGTACGGACACTACAGTAGGGGTACGGACACTACATAATTCTTGCATATCTTTTCATAATAAGGGGCAATGTGTTATTTTCTTCCTGAAAATAAGTGTCAGTGTGGACATACATAAAATAATAAAATCAGACAGAATATGCTGTGATTCCTATATAGAACAGATAGGGGGGTACGGACACTACAAAAATTAGGACACACCAAGGGGCTCATGATTATAAATGCCATAGCATTATTAATAATGGTTACATATGCACAAATCCTTTATTATGTTTAAGTCATAACATGGTAAATTTATCTTATTATCACGTAGGTGATTTCAAAGTAATATTTGGCCTTATCAAATATGTTTTTCATTGCATTAACAAAAATAAGTAAAATGTGTACAAAAGCCTGTTTCAGCAAAATGGTAAAAATAATTTTTTTCTCAGAACTTTCCTTTGGAAGAACCTGCTAGAAGAGTAGACATATGTTGTGGGAATTATATACCAATATCACATTCACCATAAATCATTGCCATAAAGAGCTAGTGCATCATATTTATGACCTTAATTGCAAATGACCCATTGTAACAGCTAAAAATAGGTACTTTTTGAACACATAATTGGCTATATTTTTATGTACAGACACAGACGTGTCTGTACATATTGCCATCACCTGCGTCTGTCGTCGCTGTCGCCGTCCATGTCGCTGTCGCCATGCACTTTTATCGTTAACACGATAAGTGGAAGACAGTTTTACTTTTTGGCTTTTTATTTACTAGTACAGAGCTGATGAATATTCATAAAAACGCAGGTTAAGTTCAAAAATCAGCATGATCAGGCCATTATTGTAGAAGTTAGGCTTTTTTTCACTTTTCAGCATATATGCAACACTGTAAACACATTTCAAGGAAAACCGATAGGCCTGTTGTCATGAAACTCACAGGAGTAATTATCTTACTAAAACGCAAGTCAAGTTCGAAAATCGGCATGCAGCCTGAGTTGGAAAAGCAGTCTAATTGGCTTCTTTTTCTGGAAGTTATACATTTTCAAAGTGTGAACTTGAACTCCAATGGGCCTGAAGCCTTATGCTTGTTACACATTTTTCTTACATTGGTATTACCTGTTGAGCATAATTAAAATTTGATGCTGAATTTGCAGTTTAACATAATGTACTTTTGCATCAGAATTGACAGTAGCCTATTTTGTGCATAGTTATTTCCTGCTTTTTGTCTGTACATTTGACAGCTTTGCTGCCTTGTTGTAAATTGTAGTCCGATTATTATAATTCTTTTTTTTTTATTTTGCTCCTATGAACAGTGTCTTTGATATCAGTCTATCAGCAATCTCTAATCATAAATTGCTAATTTATCAGACACTTGTAACATTAACCACATTTAATTGTTCACCCTGATTGTGAAACAGCCGTATATATGTAGTACTTATCACTTCTAAGCTTGCCATCCACATAGGTTACACAGGTACCTTTTGTTTTACCAGACAGTCAAGCTAGTTCAATGACAAGCTGATAACAAGCTGACAGCTTGTTTAGAGTCCAATTAGCCATTGATGCCTTGCGTTATAACAATCTGATCACTAGCACATTATCCTGTAAAAGGAGACCACTTGACACGCACTTCTTGAGATTTTACTGCAAACTTCTATTCATATAATAATGAGTATTCAGCAAAATTGCTGAAATTCCCAAGAAAGTATGGTCTTCCTTGTAATATTGGTGCAAACTTGCATGTTTTTTTTTTCTTGCAAACTTGCCACAAATTAATGTGAAAGTATGGTTTTCTCGTGAACTTGCCACAAACCCATTGTAAGATATGATTTTTTTCATTATGTTTTTATGTTTAGAATGGATTAATCAGTACAAAAAAAAAAAAGGGAAGGCAGACTACCTTTGTTGTAATTATGCTATTTTTCATCAAAAATCAATACCTAGACCAAGACAAAGCTAGCCAAGAGGATGGGCATGAAGGTGACAACCTAAATGACTGAAATTTGTCAAATCAAAAAATAAAAAGAGATCTCTACCGTAAGAAGGACTTATGAATTTTTAAAATATTTTAAATTGTATAATAACTAAATTTAGCGGATATTGAATAGAATACATACTAAGGCAGGTAGACTGATTTATCATCGCGTGCACATTACTAATCAAAACTCCATCCAGCATAGAGGTATTTCAGGTAACATGCACAACACATGGCATCACGATCATTGGTGTTTTTCAAGACTTCAAGAACCCATGTTTTGCGTAGGCAACTATCAAGACATCCATTACCTCGCACAAACTGGTAAACATGTCAAAAGTTTACAAAACTTTTACCCTTACAATACTTTCTAATAATTTCCTTCTCAAATGTCTTTTTATCACCTTATGTATATGTGTAGTACTTATCACTTCAAAGCTTGCCATCCACATAGGTACCTTTTGTTTTACCAGACAATCAAGCTAGTTCAATGACAAGCTGATAACAAGCTGACAGCTTGTTTAGAGTCCAATTAGCCATTGATGCCCTGCGTTATAACAACCTGATCACTAGCATATTATCCTGTAAAAGGAGACAACTTGGCTCGCTGACACGCACTTCTTAAGATTTTACTGCAAACTTCTATTCATATGAGTTTTCAGCAAAATTGCCACAAATTAATGTGAAAGTATGGTTTTCTCGTGAACTTGCCACAAACCCATTTGTAAGATCTGCTTCTTTCCAACCAGTCACTTTTTTGAAAGTGTAAAAGTTCTGTATATTTCCAGTAAAATGTTAATATTCCAGCAAATATTTGCAGCAAATGTTATTCTCTTTGCAACATCCTGCAAACTGTTATAAATATATTAAAAAAAGTTATCTACATTTTTTTTTTTTGCCTGTTTGATTTGAACATACTGTAAATGTATATATATATATATATGCAACAAATGTAAACGGCATTGCTACAGACAGATTATGCAAAATACAGTGCAGAACCCATGAGTACAATTACATGAATGCAGCACATGATATATTCCTTTTACATTTTTTGCTTTCACATATGTAATTTTTTTTTTGTTTGTTTGTTTTTCAGAACCAGAAACAAATACAAGATGTGGTCACATAAAGAAGAAACAAAAGAAAATGCAGTGAACACTCCATAGCAGTCTGCTGCTCACTACCAATCACTGTATTTTATTATATGGACCCCCTTATTGTCAAAACCAACAAGAAAAAAAAGTTCTAAAACTTCTGTAAGTTCCTTTTAACTGGATACAACAAATGAAACAATCTTAAAACTTTATTGCAGATGCATTCCTAACTACGAATAATGAGATGAAATCAAAATTTGGTCTTGATGCGGTATAGCCTCACCAGCAGAGTGATAATGCAATGGCAGCGAAAGACACAAGACTCCACGAAGCAGTGCGTTACTGTGATATCGATCAGGTGCGTGAGGCGCTCAAGGATCGTCTTAGTCCCAATGACATTGGGTTGTACCAGTGGAGTGCCCTGCATGAGGCAGCACAGCAGGGAGAGCTGGAGATTCTAAGGCTGTTGCTGAAACATAAAGGTAAAAAAAGGAACCATTCCCATAACCCTGTGGCACTAGCTGGATCGATCTAACTCCTTGGGGATTCACACTAAATTGCACGCAGTTTAAGTGGCTGAAATGTTTGGCACACCCCCTGGTAATTTCAAGTACTGGTACTTGGGTAAAGTTGGAAAAACTTTGTTGTCCATGATTTTGTTCATATTGCTCTGCTTTGCCAGACAATTAAGAGGTTTTTACAGAGTATAGCCCTTTATGGAGGTCACGTGGTCCAATGACAAGCACAGATTTCAGAATAATTGCTATAACTGCTGTGTTTGTGGTAATATAAATTATATTTCTATGAGTTGTTTACAATGTATTTAGTGTGAAATATAGATCTCATTTGAAGAGTTGTTATCCCTTTAATAACTGAACGTACATTTATTTTTTAACACCAGGAGACCCAAATAAAAAGGACCACCTGAGAAACTGCACAGCGGTACACTATGCAGCAAAAGAGGGCCATATGGAATGTCTAAAACTGCTGATTAAATATGGCGGTAGATATGATGTCCTCAACAGTGATGGGGAGTCCCCACTAGATGTCGCTGTGGGAGAATGTGAGAATTTGTTACAGACTCAAAGTAAGTAACGCGATCATTTATTACTAGGGCTTGAAGATAAGATTTTTTTATTATGCAGGATTGATATTTTATCATTGTTCTTGGAAAACATTATCCTAAGTCAGATGTATTTTCTTTTTTAAATTAAAGTTACTGTATGCAAAATGTTTGTTTTTAGGCATGAATTTATGCAACAGGACATACTATTTCCTAATTTTGTTGCATATTTTGTTTTTACAGTGGTTCAAGATTTGATAAAAACATCGAGACAAGAGGCAAAACATCAAGCTGAAGAACAAGCAAAAAAACTGGAAGAAAAGAAAAAGAAATCTCTTAGTATTGGGGAAAAGAATGACCTTAACCTTGGCCCCAAGGGCAATGAAGATGACCTTGACATTCAAAACATTCCTCGTATTATTGAACCTCAGAAAGAATCTTCTGGATTAAAGGCTTGGGAAAGTGAAAGGGATGGAAAACAGAAAGATAGTAAGAATTTAAAAAAAACTTATGTTAATTCCATTAACAAGACTCAAGGTATAGATTTATGTAAATTTAAAAGAAAATCACACAGCAGTGAATAAACTACAAGAATTTTGATCAAATGACATGAAAAATAATTTTGTTCATGTGCCTTTCAGTTGTGCATTATTCTTATTTCACACTTAATCACCAGGCTTGAATCAATCCAGATTTTTATGGTTGGATTATATTATCTTATTATTCCAACTTCACAAATGGCACAATGTACATGTATGACGTAAGACTCCTTTTTTCCGCACACTCATAATTCGAGTCATCTTTATGTTTCAGATTCTGCATACTTGCAGCTGTCATTTGAGTATAATTCCCATAAAGCCAACCTGAAGATCCGCGTCTGGCAGATTAGCAATATCTTACTGCCACCTCGTGAGTTGACAAATATACTAATAATTTCTATATTTTAATGCAGTTTAATAGATCATTTTTCAGGCATGTGATGATCATTCATCTGAAATGCTACTTTTAAGTATAAAATGTGATATTAAAACATCAAATGCCCATTGGAATTTCATTTCAACCATGTATCTAAATCAGAAGGCCCTTATCCCCAGGAAAATTAGAGCCTCAAGGTTTGCATAACAGGAAAAAATGTAGAGGTGTGCAAATCATTCTCTATATGTAAGATTTTTTTAACTGAAAAAAACCTGTAATCTTTTCTTTTGTTTTAGCTGAGAATTCCATGATCAGCACCATCTACATCAAGAGCTACCTGATTCCTGACAAAGATAAAGAGAGCAAAAGGAAAACTGAAGAGGTTAAAGTTCAAAGTAATGCCAAGGGTCAAGGTCAGACAGAAGAGGTCAAGTTTGATTCGAAAGCAGCTCAGAAGGATGACGGTAACCATCCACCAATTCAAATCACCCAAGTCGTGTTCACACCTTCAACTTTTAAGTTTTCAAAACCATTGGAGTATGCAAACCTTACCAAGGAAATAGTGAAAGACAGGACAGTAGATATTCAAGTGTTTGTGACGCAGAAATTCACCAGGAAGAGTTACATCATCGCTTATACGCGGATTCCACTCAGAAGTGCAGTGAAAAAACTTATCAGGGAGAAATTCCCCCTGACCCCTTGCATGGGAAAGGGGATTCCTGACAGCATGAAAGTATATAGCTCCAGTGAATATCTACCACATCATGCCTATAGGAATTTCAGTAGCGATCCTAATCTTAGGCATCCATCAATGGCAAGTCTTTTTGTGCCTCACGCAGAGCGTGCATCCAGTGACACAAATCTGCGACAGATTAAAAGCGAGGAGCCTGTCCACAAGACGCCTTCTGTGGAAATTACTGTCCAACCTGACAGAGAAGGAGCTGCTGCTGATGATGGTGATGATGAATACCTTGCTGCGGTCAGAGTTCACAGTGCCAAAGAACGCCATGCAGGACAGAGTAAAAGCATGTTAAATTTGAGCATCCCAATGCCGGGTGAGATCTCCTCTGCTGATGAACCAGAGCAGGTCAGAGTACTCAAATATGAACATCCTAGCTCCACTTATGTCAAAATGCCTGGTGCCATGAAAAAACTAGAACGTCGCAAAAGTTTGAGCACCCCGGAACTTACCACCACAGATGATTCAGAGATGAGTGAATTGGACAGCTCTTTGAATAGTCAGAAAGGCGGGCTTGTAGGGAGAATGACTCAGCAGAGACGGGATGTTTTATCACAGCTAGAAAAAGGGAAAAGACGGACAAAGATAGACAGGGTGGCCAGGCGAGTCCAGTCACCTCTTGTGGAAGCGGAGACCAGTTTCTCCAACATCGCTGGTGTACATCAAGGTCCAAGTACAATTGTGTCATTAGGGCGACGAAAGTCACAGTGTAAGAGCCCTGAAGTATTGAGGTCTTTGTCCCCTCCAGTTACAGTTTCAATAGAAACAACAACGCGCGTCAATTCATTGAGTCCCACCCCTCATAGTGTGGGTCATTATATTGCTGAACATGAGCATAAGGAAAATGAACAGACACATTTGCCATCTATACAGACACGCAAGTCGCTGCGCTCAGCATCCAAATCCAATCACCGACCACCTTCTGTCCCAGGAAAGGCGGCCATTGTTGACTCAGCTGTCCACTTTGAGGATGACCTGACTGGACAGAGGTCACCAGGAAAACAATATATAGGTGGACGTAGAGACAGTTTGCAATCATTCCAACCCAAACCAGTTAGAGATTACTCCCCAGCTAAATCACCCACAAGAACTAGGTCAAGGTTATCAGGGGGTCAAGTTCATCAAGGCCAAGGTTGCCACAGTAGGAGTGGGACAGGTTCAAGCAGAGATTCTGATACGCCCACTCCAAGTCCTAGGGAGTCCATAGAAATGAGACATCTAGATAGGGATGAGTTACGGAAACAGTATTTGGACAGGGCAGCAAAAATCACCATGACAGCGACCCCTGAGGTCAGAGTTAGAATGTTTCAAAGAACTGGGAGGGAGCCACACCCTGCCACACCCCACCATCTCAGAGGAAAGCATCAGTTTTCAGATAATCCTGAGGATGACAGTTTGGACCCCTTTTATATTCCAGGAACTCCAGTTGACTCTCCTGCCCATGGAGGGAAAAAGTGAATTATATTTGACTGGAAAACATGGGAAAAGAACTAGATAACATGAGGTGATAAAGTGAGGGGGAAATCTAAAAAAAAAGCCTCAGTTTCTAAAATTTTAGTATATTTTCCCTAGGTGCTTTTATTGATTGTCTTTTATGCAAAATGTGCAGATAATGTGCATGATTTCCAAAAAGAAATTACTAAGTAGAATGTTAATAAGTATGGAGTAAATAAAAGGGGGAGATATTTGTTATATGTTCATATACTATACTAAGATATTATGATACTTAGATTTTTCTGACACAGGAGTGAAATTTCAATATTAGCATTAGTATTTTAGACTTTATTTCCCATGCGTTTTACAGCATCTGACAGTTTTTTTTTTTTCGTTAGCCAGTTTGTGTTTCTTATATACAGATTTAGGGCACAAATATTTCAAACACATTTTTTTACTGCAGCAGGGTCCAATAAAAAGTGAACGAAAAGCGCAAGAACTTCGAAACAACCACAGGTTTTGTAGAAATTTTGAAAAGTGATCTCTATTCAGTCAGTTTAAGTGGATATGTATGTAGGTGTTATACACGAAGCTATTTTCCATCCTCTGTCCGTGGTTATTAAGTTAAAACCAAGAGCATTCCGACTCGGCCATTCTCGGGTGTTTTCGTATCAAACCTACTTGTTACGGAAATGGATTATGAGAGACCCGTATGGAACCGTGCATTCAAAATCATTATTATCTGTGATTAGATTTTTAGTGTTTCAAGAGAAGATTTATTGAGTATTTATTCATTATCAGTTTTTCGGTTTTTGAAAACTGTTTTTGTATATCTTGTCTATGTGGAGATAAACGATTAGTTTCCTGTTTTAAATACAAATGATGTTAGAATACGCACCAAGTTAACTTATTATTTACTATCATGTTTTCTCTTAATATTTAGGTTACCGTTCATAAAACTTCATTTAGAGTATATTTATTAAATTTCTGTCTTAACCGCACAAATGATTTATGCATTCAGAAGAAAATAATGAATTTGTAATATTAAACTAATTCATCATACTGTGAAAACATTTTTTTGTGTTTAAATTAATTGGTGCATGGGTTAATTATACTAAAATAACGCAAAGGTTCAGCGATTTGTTAAAAAATAAATCATTGAAATGTTTGTGTGGATGCGTTGGGCGTTTCCTGATTTTGGTGACTCAGTAGCAAATATTAGCGTTTTCTTTTATACAATGGCAAATATTAGCGTGTTGCATAATTTAAATGTCCTTTTTACTTTAAATTTTGGATAACTTGACATGTTTTAACTTCTTGAATTTCGATCATTTGAAGGTTTTGGTAGACTTCTGACATTTATAACGTTATTTGAACCTAGTGACCTTTATGAAACGATTCGAGCAATAAGAAACAAAAATATTTTGTACTATATTATGGGGACTCGGCAGTTAAATATGCTAAGTTGGGAATGGAGGGGGGTTAAACATATTTATTCGTTCATGAAAAATATATAATATTTACATCTAAAGAATTGCTTTAAGACCTGTACGCTCATCTTAAAAGAATCTAAAAATATAACCAATTAACTAATAAATATCTAGTGAAGACGGAAAAAAAGAAATGTTTTATTATGAGAAATACTATATAACAGTAATTAAAGAAGGGTTGGCACGTGTTGAGGCGGTGAGACCATAAGGAAAATAGGCGGCTTTGCTTTCAGTTGGTAACGGCCATATTTCTTCCGCGGATCAGTTAGTCCGCGGATTATATGTTCTGAATGCGGCCCAATGGGTCCATGGATGAAATATGGTCGACCCACTTGAAAGCAATGCCGAATAACCCTCTTCCAGTTTTGGAAATAAAAAAAGGGTTGGATAATTTGCAAAGGTCATTTCATGGTTCGTGGCTGCGATCTGTTAAATTGCAAGGCCCCGGCAGGCCCGACGTGTGTATAGTGGGCGGGGAGACCATTAACGTTATACTGAAATATGGACACGACAAAAACGATTGAGAATTCAGCCAATAGTGAAGGGAAAAATCGAAAAGGTGAGATTGACTCCTCCTAAGGTCTTTACATCACGTATAAATAAATATATAAATACATATGCGCAGAGCAAATGCCACTTTTTCTATGCGCAATGATGTCCATGAATTCGTCCAGCGATAAGATGGCAACAAAAAACGAAACTAGCCTGTGGAATATGCCAGGATTTTTTGATGATACAAGATGGGCAAACATCACCGTGACTCTGTTGACCGTCATCTTTTCAATGCTTGGTACGTTCGGTAACATTTGCGTTATTATCATCACAAGAAGTACTCCGTCTCTGAGAACATGGTGGAATTCATTCCACATTAACTTAGCAATAGTCGATCTGTTCATGTCCACCGTTGGGTGCCTGGGAGCCATTTTGATTGTTTGGTTATGGGATGAATCGACACCTTCTATCGTTTGCTTTCTAGGGCGCATTTTGGCCATTGGGCCATTTATGAATATTGTTATTTTGACGAATATTAGTATCTTGCGAGCAGCAAAATTTCACAAGCCTACCTTGACCATCCGTAAATATATTTTTAAACTATGTCTGACTGCACATTGGATTCTTGGCGCCGTATTCATCATCTTTCAAACAGTGTCTGACAATATAGTTGTGTTACCCCTGCAATGTCACACGGGCGAAGAGCGATCACTCGGGGTTTTGTCCGTACTCACGTATACATTTGTGATAACTTTCATTTTACTTTTAGCCTTGTGTTACACGTCAGTAATAAAGAAACTGATGAAGCAACACAAGGCCATTAAGCCATATTTCGCTGGCTACTCAGTGCAGACGATATCGGCCAGTGTCGCCGATATGTTTTTAGCGGACGGTGGCAACAATAGAGGGGAGTCACCTCATCCGAATTTTACTTCGTTAGAGCGTGTCTCTAGGCGGGAGCAGGGACAAAGTGTTCGAGTACCAAAATCTGCAAACAATGTGCCATCCGAGATAGAAGATCTTTCAGATAGAGACGGCCAGGGACTACCAGGAGTTCCATCTCCACCTTCTTCTGTCCTGCAGCAAACGAATGTAATAGAATTCTCAAGTTCGATGGACAAGAGGCAACGAGAACCCTGACACTATAGATATAACACCGCAGGCAACAACTGACGTGATGGATGTTCGCGTAGGTTCGGACACGCACTACGTAGAACTCATACAGGTAGACCAGCAAGTAATTTTGTCTAATTTGATTTTAATGGGCATATTTCTAATTAGTATTTTGCCATTTCTGATAGCTAATTTGGTGTTTCAGTTACAATCGCCAAATCTTAATACGAACCAGTATATTATCAGTCTTATTGCAAGTTCATGTGGATTTATAAATACATGTGCTAATCCTTACATATATACGCTGCGATCCCGCGTGTTTCGGGAGCGCCTTTGGTCCCTAGTTCACGATGGTACTAATTGCTGTCGACGTAGCTCCACCTATGTTGTAAGGAGCGAATTTATTTAGGTGCTGAAGTGCTTTATTTCCATTTGATGAACTAAACATCAACATGAACAGAGTGTTTTTATTCATATCTTCTGGGGATGTGAACGTGAACATAAATTTTGTACATTTACACGTGGTTTTATAACGTTCTTTGCTTTAGCTTCCCCCCCCCCCTGTCCCCATTATGCTTTAGCGAAAGATAACAATAAATATCTGATAACGTGCCATTGCTTGTTTCGCTCATGCTTTTCACATGTATTGACAGTATAGGAAAAACGTGCATTTATTTGTATCACTAACAGGAATAAAGGTAGTTGTCGGCGCCATTCTCGTGCCAAATAATCTTATCATTTTGGTATGGTTACCATGGCAAAATCCCCTTATAGGCTTTGCTACATCAGAAATGTCTACTACTAGACAGGTATCAAATTTTAAATTCTGATTCATCCTGTTGTGATATTCACAAACAAGAATATTAACTCTAATACTGGGCACTCACGTTGATCTATGAGATGTTTTGCAGAGACTTCGACGTTTCAAGGACATCTTCAGGAAATTGTCACTACAGGTGACGACAATCAAGTGACGACTGCAATACCACCGGCAGTGTCACCCATAGTGACAGTTCCCTGAAAATGGCCTTGTGATAAGTCAAGACAATGTGATCAATTAGTTAAAGAAACTTAGTTTTGACAAACCCAAATGTTTTTCTTAAGAAAAATGATCTTAATTTTACTCCAAAACCTATACTTACATGCCAAATGTGTTTGAATTTATTTCTTGTGCTATTTATTAGTGATGTGACATGAAGAAATAACTAAGGTCAAAATTCATGAGACTTGCGGATAAACCGTGAGTTCGACAAATCTGCAGGCTTTAAATATCTGATAAAAAACAGCCGACGCCTCCTTTCAGTTTCTGTACCTACACATCCATTCTCATAAAAAAAGGTGCATATCGGTATTAAAATACAGGAAAAAAACTGAGGAAATAATGTTCACAGTTAAATATTGATCAGTGGAAACGCACAACATTTCAGTGCTGAACGTGCGGTATCCGCTGTTATATCGCACGCGCACACACACACACACACACACACACACACAAAGAATTCCTATGACCTGTAGAAATCTGTAGAAAAAAATCTAAACGCAACAAGATTTCCCACAGATCTTGTGATGGTCTGAGCCATGCCTAGCTTTCTTCACTGTTAAGGATATACAAGTGAAGTTGAAAATTCTTAAAAATCAATTTCTGTTGCACCACAACTGATCATATCATACCTCCCTACGGCGGGGGCGTATTGAACAATGTATAAGGAACCGACAAGCATACCCAAAGACAAAATTAATGGCTTTATGGCTTGAATGAATATTGGTGCATATGATGCAAGTTTTGAAAAGTAATGGAATTGAAAAAAAAAGTGCAATCGAAAATTTTAAGGAGAATAAATATTGTTGTCTTTGGAAGATCTTTTATGAAATGAATAATTATCACATCGAACATTGCCGTTATGGGTCTTGCACAAAGATAATATGAGTTTTTACCTCCACATACTGCACAACATGGGCCGTTTCACAATATCTCTTGTACTGTGGCTCCGTCAGAATAAGTCAACTTACACTGAGTTGATGGGTGCGTAATTCCTGTAGAAATAACGCGGTCACCTTAATATACCTAAATACACTGATGGTGTGATTGATTATCTGTCTGGTTATACGACTGACTGACTGACTACTCGATTTATTGATTAGCTGGTTGGTTATTACTGTATCCCCCCCCCTCTCTCTCTCCTGCTTTCATTCAGCATAAAGCAAGGAGCAGACAGTCTTATTTCGTACCAATAATGCTCCTACTTTCAATCATGTAGACAAAAATGCATTTTTAAAGGCTAACAATCATGTGTTTGATAAACTGACTTCGGTCGTTTCTATTAAAAAAATAAATAAATAAATAAATAAAAAAAATTACGGCCACGGAATTCATCTCAATAACAAACAAACAAAAAGAAATAGACTGTGCAAGTTTGAGTTTTTCCATGCAATAAAATTGTGGAGATACACATAAATATCCCCTTTTTTGTTTCAATGAAATAAAAAAAAAACACGTTTGGAATTGCAAACAGGATTTTTACGACTCCCGCATTATGCATCTGAAAGATTTTTCACTGAAAAATGAATACTTTACAATCAAAGTTCAAATTACAGAGATATTAGTTTCGTTTACTTATGGCGCACAGCTTTGCGGGATTTTAAAAAAGAAGATCCCTGGGGTTATTTGGATTCCAATTAGTAAAGATATACGTTTTACTGTAATTTAGACTGTGCTGACGTCACTGGAATCGTTATAACGAGGATCATCCAAGGAATCAGCACCGCCAAACAACTTTCCGTTTTTACTTGTAACTTTTCAGATAACGCACTTGATACAAATAAAGATATAAATGACAAGCTCTGAAGTCCCTTTTCCTGCTCAAGCATAAAGGATAGGCATTTCATGAGCATAATTAGCGTCGTATTTCGATACCCCAGGTGAGCCAAAGGGTGAA